CGTTTGAGGGAACCGCCCGATGTTCGAAGCTCAAGCGTCAATGTTCGGAACCCTTAGTGGCAGAGGCAAGCGGTTTAGAAGTGTCGCTACATTGGTAGGACTCCGGAGCAAGTACATGGCTACGTCAAACTAACTAGTGACGGCCTCGGCAACTCTCGTATCTATGGCCTCGACCTCCACACCCATGACCACCACCCCTACCCCTACGAACAGACGGGCCGGTGTCGGAGCCACGGTCAGTGTTGACGCGCTTGAGTAGGCTTTCGAGCAACCCAACGAGGGTGCCGTGCGTGCGGCGCTATGTTGTGAATCGCTCGACCCATGGACTCGAGGTTGTCGGGCAGCTGGCGAAAGTCGGACAGGATCAACGACTCGCGCTGATACTGCGGGTTCGCGAGGGGACAACGCTCGGCCTGGTTGACTTGTTCGAGCAGTACCAAGGTCTCGGACCACGCGATCGTAGGGTAGGGCGAACCTAGGATGTCTCCCTGGTTGCCATCGCGGTGAAAGACCTCGTCGAGGTAACGCATCAACTCGTCGATCTCGGGGAACGACCTAGGAGCAGGAAGCGTATTGTTCGCCAGCAGGATGGCCCGGCTGCGGGACTCGAACAAGAATCGCTGTTCGAAGGTCGGTTCGATGGTTCGAACGATAGTCTAAGTTCGGAGGCACGTACGATCATCCAACGGACTCCGTGAGCCCAAGCCAGCCACTCTCCGGGACTGTTGGCATTGTATCGCGGTTCGACAAGTCCCTCGGTCTTGAGGACTTCGAGGAGGCGATAGTAGCGGGCAGCATACGCTTCGGAAGTTGGGTCGAGGTGCGGCATGTTCGTGTAAGACAGGCGAACTCCTGCAACTGTCTCATATCTTCGAGGACGGTCACCGGCTCTGGTTATGACCTTCGCCGTTCGGGGACGGTCGTCCGTTATGCAGAACCTGCGGAAGGCCGAGTTGGGTTCTCTCATGTGTTAGTAGGTCCGGGTCGAGTGTTGTGACATTCTCCGATTGGCTGCTTTCCTTATCACTTTCATTCATCATTTCTTGTATTTCTCTTGGCTCTCTTGGTCTTCGGACCGTATTTTCCTGTATATACTCTGGGACTTGTTCCCTTCGAATCTCAGAGACCCCCTTACCCTCTCAATCTCACCTCGCACCGGCGAGGTTCGTCAGTCAGCCAGTACGTTCGAAAGTCAGCAAGTTCGCCAGTCAGCCAGTACGTTCGAAGCCAGTCAGTCAGTCAGTCAGTTCGCCAGTACGTTCGCCAGCTTGTAGTTGCCCCGAGAGGCTCTACACTTCTCCTCCTGCCGTCGCTCGCCTTCCTTGTCACCGTTCGTTCGACACATCTGTCGAAACCCTCCCTCCTACCTTCGAGGCTTAGCCCTCGCCTTCGAACAGTCTTCGACATCTTCGAAGCTCTCCCACGTCGTTCGGAGTCTTGTCCGTCCTCCTCCTTCTTACCTAGACCACTGTACAGTCCCCCGTACATCTCATAGACGCAGAGGCCTCGCATACCACTGCTCGACCTCCCGGTTGGGTTTTGTGTGGCTTTTTGTGTTCTTTTCGGTCGCGTCAACGAGTAAGGACAACCTCATACAAATTGTTGGTCGTCATGCTCCCGACGAGGATTGTGTCACTGCCATCCTGGCTAGCAATGCGCATCTCGCCACCCTTGATCTGGATATTGCATCCGCTCCCGTCGATTCGAGACAGCAACACTAGGTTGGCTGCCATTTCGGGTATGTGGAGCGCGTTGCGGAAGGTCACGACTGAGCGTCGTCCTTCGATGGTCATCTCCGCGTGGACGCACCCGACTCCAATAATCGTGAATTCAGCGCCTCGTTTGGCGCTGCTTCCGGAGTGGGGCGTCAAAGGTAGGTATTCAGAGAAGTACGAGCGGTCGGTGAAGTAGTGGTGGCTCGCCCCGGAATCGAGGTAAGCACGTATCGTTCCGCTAGGGTCGGTCAAGGCTAGCGTGGGTGATATAGTGGCCATAAAGACATTGTAGTTCGGGACCCCACTAGGGGTCGACGTAGACACGGTGTTCGCAGATGCGTTGGAGTTCGTCGTAGTCATAGGATGAGCCAGATCGGCAGGCGATCCTCTCTTCGGACGCGGCGGCGACTTCCAGTTCGCCGGCTGCTGCCCCGCCATGCCCCCGCCTTCGCAATAACAATGTTCCTTTGAGTGTCCCTTCCACAGGCACCACTCGCAGATCTGGATGGCCTTCGCTGCCGTCATAAACGCCGATGTCTGCGGCTCGCTCGACGCTGCAGCCTGCGTTGCACCGAGAGGGTTCTGAGGCTGGCCGGTCCGCAGCATTTCATTGTCGTGGACGGCGAGGATAGTGAGGATTACATCCTCGGGATCGGATTTCGTGAGGAGACCTGCCGTGATATGATTATAGACTTCGCCCATAGATTGGCAAATGATGATGGCAAAGCGATGGTCGGTGAGGGGCGACGACATCTCATTACACGCCTTGCGACGGCGGCGTAGTTCTTTGAAGTGTGCGTGGATGTCCGAACCAGGGACGTACTTGCATTTCTTCAAATACTCCTCGGCGTTCATGACCGCCAGCTCGCTTCGCCTCTCCTTTATCACCAGCAGTGCTGTCCAGAACTCATACACCGTTAAGCCGAAAGGTTCGACCCCACAGATCGAGAGGTCCATGTTAAGCGTACAGGTCGCCTTCGCATGGAGGTCATTCTTGTTCCATTTGGCAAGTTCGGTCACTTCGGCTGGAGTGGGCGTGGCGCCGGCAGGCTTAGGTGCGGTCGTCTTTCCGAGCAGGTGGTCCAACTTTCCTTGGAGTTCGACGATCATGAGAATTTTACTCTTCCACTGCACCCAGTTGGTGCGGTTCAGATGGAAGTTCTCCGGGAGAATGAGAACCTTTTCCTTGTCGTCCGCCATACTAGTGGGTATATGCATGTTTTCGGTGGGTATATGCGCGCGAAAAACGGTTTACTGCGTCGGAAAAACATCGAACGGGTGGTTGTGCCCTTAATGTGTCGTCGGTTTGTACGAGGGTTGAGTTAAGACGGGACGGGGCTCATAACCTGTTAATGTTACAGCGTCTTAGTCTCGACCTCGTGGTACTCGACTTTTATATTGATATACCTGTTAATGTTACAGCGTCTACGAGGCACAGGATTAGTGTCCGTTGTCCGTGAATACTGCTACAGAAACGGCTTACCTCAGTCTCGACCTCGTGGTACTCGACTGAGGTGCCTCCAGTCTACGCGCGTCCGTCAAAGTCCGTTCGTACGTCACGTGTCCGTGTCTAAACTAGCGCCCGTGTCTCGGTCCTACCTCAACAAGAGTGACCGGAAGGAATCGATGGTGTCGGTAGAAACGACGGGCGGGGGTGTTGGCAAACGGATGGGAAGGGGATGTGACGATTTGGGTCCGGAGGGGACGTACGAGCTCAGATACTCGTAAAGGGACTGTGACGCGGTCGGAGGAGGGTGGTGAACTCACCCGCCAACGCAGGGACTCGGAGTGAACACGTAGAAACTCGTTGAAGCCGGATGGAACACAGAGAGCCGGAAGGAAACACGGTGCTCGTTGAAGGTGAACGCAGTGATCTATTCGCAACACAGTAAACACAGGACACAGTGAGAAACACAGGGAATCGCAGTTGAGCTCGCTCTCTACTCCTAGGTGGTAGGTAGGTAGGATCTCCCCCGTCCGGTCCCCGGCTCCCTCCCTTATCTTCCCTCCGGCTCTATCTCCCACGCCTCCGCCTCGCTGGCTCCTCTCCCCGTACTCTCCCGTTCTCTCCGGGTCCTCTCGGGCCCTCCTCCCGTCCCCTTTGTCCCACCGGTTCCCGTCCTCCCCTCCTCCGTGCCATGTCATCCTCCATGCCCCTCAATCCACTCGCCACCGTCCACATCCGCCGGTACTTCCTCCTGCTGGAAGTGCTTCGACATGAACAGGCCGCCGAGCCACACCTCGATATGTCCTCGCCTGGCACCTGGCTCGTGTGGGGTCATGGCGTCCGCTGGCTTCTGGTACGCATGCCCCCGCTTGTCCCTTCCGCCGCTTGACTCTTGTCCTAGCGCATGCTCTTCGACTCGTTCTCCCTGGCTACGGCCCATAGCGACGCGTCCCTTCTGTCACCCCGCAGTGTTCCCTCCGTGGCCTCTTTGCTCGCGTATGTTGACACCGTATTCAAGGGCATTCCCTCCGACATCAACACCGGCACTGCCCTGTATCCTGCCATCGCGTGGTCCCCTCACAGGGTCCATGCCAATCCGTCCGTCGGACAGCCTCGCCCGCAGTCTCCCCCTCAGTTCGTAGACCCACCCCTTCGCCTATCTTCCCTCCGGCTTGCTTCCGATAACCACGACTCCCTTCATGCTCGCATGGGCACGTTGATGAGCGAACAGCGGTCCTCTGCCGGTCGTATCCGTAGCGACGTCGGGTTTGTAGTCCGCGAGATCTACGACTTGGGCCGTTCCGTCCGCCTGATCACCGAACCGGATGGTGCTTTCGGGGGTGCTGCCGGAGGGAACGTAGATCTGGAGGAGAGTTCGGTCGGAGGCCCGGAGGGTATCGACATCACCGTTCCGGAGATGTTTGACGGAGGGAACACTGTTTCGTAGCGTACCCTTGGCTTGTAGTCGTTCGTGACTCTCTGAATGAACGGCCGGTCCTTGTGCCGTTCCTTTCCTTGTGCTATATGTTGCCTTACGGGGCTGGGCTACGTCCCTGCCCCACATCTCCCCCACCTGAAATTCTGACCATCCTCGGTCAGGTCCTGCCTTCTGGATCATCCAGGCCCTTCCGCCTTGAGGACTCCTTGTGCGTTCCCCTAATCACGATTGTCCCTTGTTGCTTATGATGTATTCCGTCCGGGCGCCTCCTCCGTGAGATCGATTCCCCTGACCAGCTTCCTCCGGACACAAAACACGCCGCTGCCCGCCATCTTGATGCCGTGTCCGCTTGCTTTCAACTCCCTTGATCTCCCCTTCATCCGACTCTCGTCTTTCCATTATGGCCTCCCCTCCGATATCGTGCGAGCCATCTGCTTCCTCTTTGGGTTCGGCTCCTTCCGGCGCTACTGCGTTGACCTTCTACGAACGCCGCGCAGCTCAGGCGCAATTGATGGAGCTTTGGGACGACGTGGCAACATTTCTCTCCGCCCGTGCTAACCGCCCCTCCAGCTGACGCCGGGGACCTCGAGGTAATGGAATGGCTCCGGTGGGCCCGTAGGGCCGTCTATCTTCAGGTACCAGTCCCCGTCTTCCTTCCGCTTCATACAGTTGCTGACCTTTAGTCCACCGTAGCTTACTGTCGAGGCCAACTCCCTGGTCGCACAGCGGAACGGACATGAGTCCCCCGGCAATCCGCCCTCCACCATTGAGGCTTTGAACCGGCTGTCCGACACCATAGCGGAGCGTGCTTTTGCAGTAGGGGCACCTTACCAGGCGTATGCTGCCCAGCTTCGTGCTGACATCGAGAACCGGGTCGGCCTCCGGGATGATCTGCGCACCGCGCGCTGGAACGATGCTCCCCTGGTGCTTAGTGAGCACTTTTCACCGTCATTGGCCCGTCCGTCCTCCCTCCGCTGGTCCCTTCGTCCCTTCCGCCCTCCGGTACAATGTTGGCCCCGGTTGCTTCACGCATTCCCGCTCCCATTCCGGTTCGCACTGCTCGTCCCGCTATCCTCCCCGTTCCTCCACCCTCGCGCCCCACCTCCCCTATGGCCATCTCGCTGCCCGTTCCTGACCGCAAACCCTTGTTTCTTCTGGGCACGCCGTCCCCTCCTCCTCGTGTTTCCTCCCCGCCCGTTGTTCCTCCATCCGCCACCCCCTCCGGGCTCCCCGTTTGTCGTGTTCGCCTCCGCGTGGCTGACGAGCCGCCTACTCCTCCTCCCGCCCCTGTTTCTGGCTGCGACGTAGTTCCTCCCCTCCCTTCCGGTTCTACCCAGGCCAACCGGATGCGATACGGCCCCCACGTGTACAATGTGATTCCCCGTTGCGAGTCCTGCGTTACTCACGGGACCATCTGTCGCACCGATGGGCTTCCTCATCACCAGTGCACCCCCTGCGCTCGGAGCAAGGCACGGTGTTCCCTCTGGACGCTCGGTGCACCTCCTTTCCTTAGTTCCGCTGACCCGTTTCCACGTCCGACTTACCCCGTGTTGCAGACAAGGGTCCCTTTGAGATGTGGTACATTGGCCCTCACCCACTCATCTCTCGGTCCCAAGCACGCGACTACGATTTCCGCACTTCCGTGCAGGGACGAGTTCATGGCAACGTCCCCCACAACCTTCTCAGCGCGTTCCGGGATGATCAGCCTGGCCCTTCCATTCCCGCCGCGCCTCCTGTTCCCGGTCCGTCTTCCCGTCCCACTCCCCCTCTTCCCCGCACTGGCGCCATACGGGACCGTGCCCGGAGGCTCAAGGCCGACACCGCTTGAGTGGAGTCTCTTTACACCGCTCGATTCTCACAGGCGGGCCAGGATCACGACCCTACCGGTGGGCGGGAGGGGGTCGACAAGATTGAGGAGGATGAGGACATGCCACTACCGGGTGGTGACGACCCGGAGTCCGAGGAGGATGCGTAGAGGTACCCGCCGTCCGTAGACATGTATACTCGTTGCTGTGTCTCCGCTGTCCCGCAATTCACGTTTTCTGCTATCGTTCCCCAGGTAAATCTGGTGTCGTTGCCGTCCTCTTTGTTCCCCGTGCCCTCGGTACCCCTCCCCCCTTTTTGACTCGGTGAGGCCATCAATCGTTCTAGCTTCCTCCCCAGTATTTCTTCCATAAGATCACCGTGTATTGCCTCGTGATCTTCCTGCTTCCCGTCTTCCGTGTCCCCCTTTCCGATCCGCACCATCCGGTCCCCCTCCCCTCTGCCTTGCGCCCAACACATGTTATCCTTCCGGGTCTTCTGATCCCTCCCCTCCCCTTCCTTCCTTCGTACTTCTATCCTCCCTCCGGTCCCTCCTCACTTCCTCCGCGCACCCGTATTTCCCGTTTTCTTCACCCTTGCCATGGTACGTCACCCCCACCGTCTTATGATTTCGTCCAGTGCGTGTTAACCTTCTCCGGCCCCTCCCCTGTCAGAGTGGACCGTGGCCCCCTCCGTACTCCCCTGAATGCCCGCCTCGGCGTCCACCTGGCATATCCATCGCCGCGTCCTTCTTAGCCCCTTCAGGGCCTCCGTCAGGCAACGTACATGTCCGTCAACCTTCCCTCCGGGGATTGTCTGTTGACAAGCAGCTCCGTGCCCTCGAGAGCTGTACCAACGCCCTCATGAACCATGCCGAGCGCTCCGAGTCTCTGTTTGCCGACTTTCAAGAGCACCTTCTTGAGGATCTCCTCGCCTTCCGCTCGCATTTCGAAGGTTCCGACCGCGACCTGTGGGACCGTGCACAGCGCACCCTTCACCTCATCACCGACCTCCGCGAACAGCTGGATCGCCACCAGATCGACACCGGGATCTGCGTCCACGACCTTTCCACTTCCATTACCAGGATCTCCCGCAATACCGACTCCCTGACCCACTGGGTCCGTGAGCTGGCCGCCTCTTCCTCTGATCCCGCCGTTCTTGATGTGTTAACCACCGTGGAGCAGCGCATGGCGTTCCTCATCACCCACCTTCAGTCCATCCCTGTTTCCTTCCCTACTCCGCTGTTTCCTCCTCCGGACCAGTCCCCTCCGACGCCTCCTGTCTCTCTTTGACAGGCCCGCGCCGCGGCCTCCTCTTCTTAGATCTCCTCTTCCTCCATGTCTGAGCTCTCCTCCTCCGCCTCGTTCATGGTGAACCGCTCGGCCAGTTCCTCGTTTTCATCCGGTAAGTACTCGTCCCACTCCTGCAGGTCTTCTATGCTGATCTTTCCCTCCCTCCGGCCTCTATAAGGTGCCACCCGGAATGCTGCATATTGGTGTCGCGCTACACTCCCATCCAGCTCTGCCAGGATATACGAACCCCCTTCCGTTCTTCTTACTACTATCATCGGTCCTAGGTACCATCTCTTTGCCTTCCGGTTGTGCTCCGTCTCGATCTGCGAGTTGCGAACGAGAACGAGATCTCCCGGACCGTGGTTGTAGTCTTTGATTGTGTGTGTGTTCTTCTTGATAAAGTGCTCCACGGACTTGTACCGCGCCGTCAGCACCTTCCCATGTATCGCGTTGAGATCTTCCCTCCGCTTCAGTAGTGCCCGTGCGCGCTGTGCAATGAACTCTTCCTGCGATAGTACTCCCTCCGGCTCCGGAACGAGGAACGTCGCCTCCACTAAGTCAAACGGAAACACTGGCTCCACTCCGTGCACGATCCAGTACAGTGACATCCTGGTGCTCTTCTGAATAGATACATGTTCCGCCCAAAATACCGCATTGATGACCGTAGGCCACTTGGTCTTGTTCCCTCCACAGAGCTTCATGGCCGCCTCACGCACATCGAAGTGCCTTCGTTCCACCGCGCCGTTCGCCCGCGAGTTGTACGGCGAGATCTTAATATGGTTGATACCGTACTTCTTCGACAAGATCTCCATTGCCGCGATGAACGCGGGCCCGTTATCCGTGACAAACTCAGCTACCGCTCCCCAGCGACACAGGATTTCCTGGAAGATGAAAGCGGCCAGCGTCCGCGCCGTTTCGTTCCGGAGCTTTCTCCATTCCGGGTACGATGCCATCGAGCACCGGGCCTGGACGATGTATGAGTACCCTCCGGACTTCGGCATGTGCATCGTGTCAATATAGACCTTCTGGAAGAGGCCTAGCGGTGTCACTACCATCGGTGGGATTCTGATTTTCTGCGTACTCCGCAACTGGCACTCGTGGCATGTACTGACGTACCATTTCACGTCTTGATCAAGGTGAGGCCACCAGACTCGGAATCGTTCCAGTAGTCGCGTCCGGACTGTATACATTCCGCGATGCCTGAGATCGCCGTGTGCCTGCCTCAGTAGCTCCAGACGCCGTTCCTTCCGGATCACGCACTTGTGCTTTCCTTCCGGATCGCATCTCCAGAGCCGTCCCTTCCGGAGGAAGAATTGCCCGGCTTTGCGGACAAACCGGCAGAACACCGCTTCATCACCTAGGTCATCCGGTCGCTCCATGTCGCTCAGGAACTTCTGTATCTGCATCTTTGTCAGTTAAAGTGGATCAATCAGGGTACATTAATGTACCAAATATCAGCTCATCCAGGGCCATTAATGTACCCCTCTAAAGTCAATCCAATCTAAATCCAATGCTGATCCTGCACTAAGTCGTAAATCACTGTATAAGATCAGGATTTGGATCAGATTCACTAATCCTCATTAAGTTGATACAGTCTTAGGCCAATTGTACAACACTAATCTAACACTGATACTATTCTGATCCATGCATTAGTGTACACTGATCTAGTACTAATCTTGGATGATCCTGGGATCAGTATATACTAATCCAGTACTAATGCTGGGATCAGTATATACTAATCCAGTACTAATGCTGGGATTAGCATACACTAATTCAGTACTGATCTCAGGATTAGCATACACTAATTCAGTACTGATCTCAGGATTAGTGTACACTAATTCAGTACTGATCTCAGGATTAGTGTACACTAATTCAGTACTGATCTCAGGATTAGTGTATACTAATCCAGTACTAATCGCAGGATTAGTGTATACTAATCCAGTAACAATCCTGGGATTAGCATACACTGATTCAATACTGATCGCAGGATTAGTGTATACTAATCCAGTACTAATCCTGGGATTAGCACACACTAGTTCAGTGCTCATTAGTAATTCTATGCTCAACAGATCATTCTTATGCCTGATCCGCTGTGATCTATGTCCCTAATCGCACTCAGCTTAACAGTTGATCTACAGTGCTAATCCAGATCATACAGGTACTATAGCTAGGTACATCAGTATTCGCAAGGAGAGTCGACAGTCAATGCATGACAACACATGGAGGACCAGCACCCGGCCACAGGATAGACGTGTACCGCATCACGTCGATGGAAGCCGTGGACGCGGCTACGAACCAGCGAGTCCACAGCAGCACCACCAACCAGCGAGTCCACGGCGCCACCACTACACGTCAGCACGTGCAGCACGCAGCAGGGCGGAAGACAACGCGGGCACGACGGAAGGATGCGAGGGCGAGCCAACTATGAGACGCGAGAGCAACAGAGGACACGGAGGGCCCCGGTGAACGCAACAGCGAGGGCGAGATAGGATGTGCACGCGAGGGCAAAAGCAACACGGGCGGCGACGGCGACGCGACGGTGCAGACGCGATGGCGAGGCGCAGATAGCGAGGGCGACGCGAAGGAGATGTGATGGCGGCGACGCGGAGGAGACACAATGACGGGAGAGTATAGGCGATGGCGGCGACGCGGTGGAAACCCGATGGCGGGGGAGATGGCGATGCGGACGCGGAGGAGACCCGATGGCGAGGGAGAGATAGCGAGGGCGACAGAGGATGTGGACGCGATGGCGATGGCGATGGTGACGCGAAGGACACGCGAGGGACGTGGGCGGGCATGCAGGTGCACGGTGGGGACGACCGGGCATGCGTCGAGGAACAGATACGCTCACCAAGGGCCAACCGTCGCCTTCCCCGACCTCCGCTCTCCCCTCTTCTCCCAGGCATCCCGCCTGCCCCTACTCCTTCGTATTGCGGTCCCATTTGCTCGCCTTTGACGCTCGTCGCCGTGCTTGACTTGAGCGTGCCAGCGTAGGTGCGCGTTACGAGGCGCTGCGATGGTGTCGACTCTAGTTGGATAGTGGTGAAGGATGGCGGGGAGATGGCAGGCATTGGCCGGTCCACATAACGCTTCGCGGAACTGGGTCGCAAGCCGACGCTGGCAGGAACATTTCAGCGGGTACGTGAGGGAGCGGGCGTGGCTGTACAGTATATCTAGCTAGTTATTCTTTCATCGCCGTTGCCGGTACTATCATCCTCTGGCTGTAAGATATCATCAGTACATATTGCTGGCGTGAAGCAAAGCGGACGGACCCAGAACGCCATGCATCAACCGCAGCGATTCGATCTGCATCGCATCCAGCTCGAAGGCCGTGTCGATGACCGATGCCTTCCCCTGGGCCCGCAGTGCTTGGAAGGCACTCAACTGGACCCACTCCCCTCCATCGCGCGTCCACACGAAGCAGCTCGTCGGTCGCCATCCGCGCGTACGACCCGGCCTCAGGGTGAGTTCGAAGGTCGCCGCATCGGGGTTCGGATGGCTGGGTCGATCGGGACCTTGCGAACCATAGTCGACAATGCTCCATGAATCGGGGTTCATCTAACCCACATAGTCAGGTACGTCGTCGCGATTTTAGAGGACACAAACTTACCCTTGAACGCTTCCGGGCTGTCAGCATCGGAGCGAGTCGAATCCGATGCTCCTCTACCGCCGTGACCAGACAAGGTCTCTTCTTGTCGCTGACTTCGCGTCCGCCGGAATGGACGGCGAAGTCTATCCGTTCCGGGCTGTACAGCACGACGTAGGGCGAAGAGGAGTTCATGTGGTGGACAGATGGAATGAGTAGGATGAATTGGAAGAGGAAGGAGAACACTACTCACTGCTGAGCCCATTGGCTTTCTCGCGGCTACTGGATCTTCTCGCCAGTGCGTTTACGATACTTTGTATCAGCGGGGCCCAAGGACGACGGCTTGAAACGAGGCAAAGTGTGTCGGGGCTCGTTGGCGACCTCAGGTTCACCATACTGGCAGTGTATTAGACATCGGCGTCGTCTGCGATGATGCTGGGGGAGGGGTAGCGAGCGGCGAGCGATGACCAGAGAAGGGATGGTCGTCGTCTTCTATGGAGGGTACATGCGAGACGCAGTCGTGTTTGCAGTTATGAATGCGAGTAACAGGGTGAGGTATGCGAGGGAGTATTGAGACTGGTTGATACCGCGCCAGAGAAGTAGGGTCGGTAGGCGACAGTGTGAGGATAGACGGAGACGCGAGGTACGCGAGGGAGTATTGAGACCAGTTGATAACGCGCCAGACGAGTAGGGTTGCTAGTCGTTTGACTCAGAATAGATGAAGAGGTACGCGAGGGGGTATTGAGAGCAGTTGATAATGCGCCAGACGTGTGGGGTTCCTCGCTGCATTGCCGACGCTCATGGCACCCGTGGTTCGCCGTCCTTGGCGAGGTCGTCAGGGCGCGACGTAGCGGGTATCGGCTCCTACGGGGAGGAGCCGGTGAGCAGGTTGTACGCAGAACAATAAGTTACTTACAATTGTGTAATCCCATTTGTCTTTGTGGTCCTTCCGTGTGCTCGCAAAGTGATTAGCACATTGAAGACTAAGCTTGCTGAACATGTCCGCCTTCTTCCTGGCATATACGCGTGCCCCCTCTGACAAATCCGTCTTCGTGGATACTGCTTCCCATGCATTGGACATGCTCTTGAACCCGAGTATTGTTCGCTTGAATTCGGCGTGAAGCTTGTTGACCTCTTCATTCGCTCGGTCCTTCTCTGCTCTCGCCCGAAACCATTGAACGCGATCGACTGATCCATCGTCAGTCACGCCGCCGTCATTTGGCATTGGCATTGCACACCTTCGAGTTGCCAGGCCTCCGCCTCGCCTTCTGTCCTCCATGGCGGCACGACCTTCCATATCCAACTCGCCTCCTCGCGACTGTCTCCCAGTTGTCGAGGACTTCGCCAATTTTTGCTTTTGAGATCGTTGTCCAGATTGATTGCGGTCAGGATGTCCGCTTGGTCCGCACACAACGCGATAAGCCGATCGCGGTTGTAGTTGTAGAGTCCAGCGATTGCTCGCGTATGCGCAACTGCGGTATTGACCTGCGTCTGCGAGCGCATGTTGTCCTTCTGTCCCCGTGCGTGCTTGCGCTTGTCAAGGAGGAACGCGCCTTGATGGTTTAGGGATTGCTTGATACCGTCCAGAAGGTCGTAAGCGTGACCTACACGTATTCTGCGCTCGAATATAGCGAGTGCTTGCAGGCCAAGGTCTTCGCGCTCATGCGCAGAGAAATCGGAAGGGAATGCGAGGGGTTCTTCCTCAGGAGCCCCTGAGCCTTCGTCATCTTCGCTGTCATCATCTTGTTCATCTCCTTCTGCGTCAGGATAGTCGATATGAGGCATGAGAGAGCCCTGCAGCTCGCGCCACTTATCCAGTTCACGGCGGAGCGTCCGCCGTGCCCCGCTGACCCCCGCCAAAAGCGTGTCTTCGTCGTCGAGAAGCTCGGCGCTGGCAGGCGCACGGCTCTTCTTGACCTTCGCACGAAGTTCGAACCTGAGAGGCTTTAGTGAAGGAACGACAAGCCATGTGAGAAACACTTACTGGCGTTTCTCCAGCTCAAGGCCCTTCTTGAAGTAGTTCGTCGTCCCTTGCGGAACCCCATCTGCTGCGGCCGCCGAGAACTTATCTTCGGGATTGATTTCTTGCTGGACTAGGTCATCGTAGACCTTCCCCGCACTGGGGACTAATGAGTGATGAGCATGTCGATGTGACACAGCCAAAGAGCCATTGGTAAGCGTACCTATGCTCTCGTCTAGCATGTACACACTACTAACTTCTTTGTTCGACTTCTTGCCTTTTTGCTTCCCTTTGCCTTTTTTCTTGCCTTTGCGTTTCCGAGTCGACGTCTTTTCGGGTGCGGGCGTCGCGAAGGGAGCCGGTGTGTCGTCCTTCATCTTGATCCAGGCGTGCACCTGGTCCCCAGCCAGCTCGTTCAACGCAGCAAACACGCCGGTCTTACTGTCTCGCGCCTTGAAGGCCTCCTTCAGCTTTCGAGCAAGGAAAGACCCTTAGTGTGAGGTGTGAGTGACGTTGCTGCTCGAGGAGATGATGACATACCTGCTGTCTCCATTTTACACCAATTCCAATGGTTGTGAATGGCGTTCAGGGCGTCATGTAGGTGACCTGCACTCATCTCGCGTGTGCTGAGCCCCACTTGATTATGCACATTACTGAGTGGAACTTGACCGTTTCGAACGGTCCACCCGGAGTGCATTTGGCCCGTTTCGAACGGTGTACCCGGGCTCGGCCGGAGCACTCCGGGTCTACCGTTTGGAGCGGCCGCCGCCAGCAACGAACCGGCCGGAGGGAGGGTGGTGGTTTGGAATGGTCCGGCCGGAGTGTTGGGTAACGTTCCGGCCGGAGCTCTGGTGAACGTACCGGCCGGAGGCCTCGAGAAATATGGGTTTCCTACGGTGCGGCCGGACTGTTATCCAACGTTCCGGCCGGAGCTCTGGTCAACGGTCCGGCCGGAGGCCTCGAAAAATTTAGGCTTCCTACGGTCCGGCTGGACACATATTCAATGTTCTGGCCGGACCTTTGATCAGTGTCCCAGCCGGAGGCCTCGAAAATTTGGGCTCTCAACGGTCCGGCCGGAGCACTCAGCAATGGTCCGGCCGGCGCACTCAGCAATGGTCCGGCTGGAGGCCTCCAAAGATTTGGGTTCTCAATGTTCCGGCCAGGACCGGGGTTGATATCTAACCTTCTGGCCGGACCCCAGATGACATGGTCCGGCCGGGCAAAATTCCACCTTCCAAACATCCGGCCAGAAGCCTTGCGGAATCTGGGCTGTAAACAATCTGGCCAGGCTAGTTTGTAATCATCCAGCCAGCCGGACCCCAGATGAACAGACCGGCCGGGCTTCTCCCAAACCAGCCAGACACCTCAGGTTTGATCTGCCGGTGATATAACAACAAGAATTGTTAACCACCGAGCTCAGCTGGAAAACAACCAAGGTTGTGTCAACCAAGCTCAATATTTAACCACCACCGAGCTCAGAGTTGAACCACCGAGCTCAGAGATGAGCCACCAAGCTCGGTATCAAACCACCGAGCTCAATAGTGAGCCACTGAGCACAGTATTGAACCACCGAGGTTAAACAGCTAGGCTCGGTGGCCGAGAAAAATTGGCCGGGCTCGGCGCCGAGGATAAATGGCCGAGGCTCGGGCCGAGGTTTTGAGCGCCGAGCTCGGGCCGAGGTTTCGAGCGCCGAGCTCGGTGAAAACCGCCGAGGTCAGTATCAAAGCATTGAGCTCAGTGTTAAGGGGCCCAGTTAAAGGGCCGAGCTGAGTGTTCAATGACCGAGTTTGTTGTTGAAGCACTGAGCTCGGAAATGGCCGAGGTTAAACCACCG